TACTTCCCGTCGTAACCGAAATTGACACCTCGGCCGATCTTTTGTTGAGGCACTTTATTTGTACGTTCGGAATACCCTCGATTGTACCCAGTCTTCAATAATCACTAGTTTGAATAGTGGGAAAAATTTCTTCTCTGAATTTTTTCTTGGAAAGTGAGTCTAGTAACGTGTTCAAGCCGAGAAAACTCACCATATCGATTACCAAACATGCTCTCCAAGGAGCGGAGGAGAGTGGTTCCAATCTCAACAGCCCACGCTCGATATGGTTCCTCCTCCGGCCTGGAACATACACTGTGTGGCACCCCCGATTCGATACTGTACCCTTCAGTGCAGGTGAACTCGGAAATGGCAAACGCCACCAAATAGGTGGACATTATGGTTGTTTCCTGGTAAGTCGTCTTCAGGTAGGTGCTAAAGGATACTAATTACAACTCCGGAAGCCTGGTAGCACTCAGCTTACCCATCAACTGTAAGATTGCTGCTGACGTTGGTGTTGGCCAACGCGTTTAGTCCTAAGGGGTACGTGAGGCTCAGAACGAAAGTTGCTTTGAACTTCGGCTGATCCAGGCAGGGAAACGCATGTCTGGAATGGACAGGCTCGAATTTAGTCAGCACCAGATAGGAGGTTTGGTTGCTTTCGTCAATGTAGGTGCTGATGTACAAGCCTCGCATATTGTCCTGCTCTAGAGTGGCGTAATACCTGAAAACAGCCCTCCAAACAAGTGTTTTCCTGCACACTCTCACTCACTCAATGTTCAAGCTGTAGAGGGTGTTGGTGGTCAGCGCGTTTTGCACTGTGATGGTGAATATTTCGGTAGTACTGTTATAGGAGGTGTTGGTTACAGTATTCGCATCACCATCTTCATTGGAAACTGTTACAGTCTTGATTGTAGAGCGGTGGTGCAGGTTGATTTCGTTGGTGCTTTCCGTTACAGTGAAAGTCATCGTAACTTCACCTAAAGTAAACGAAACATGGCTTAGAGTAGAGAAGACGGCAAACATCAAGAAAGACTGGTTACCTTCAAAAGTGTCGTTCTGGCCGGTAAAAACTCCTTGCGGCACAAATATGTCCACCACATATTTGGAAGGAACCACTGTATCGGGTAGAATGTAACTTTGGGCATTTTCCAGCAGAAGCCCTAGGAAGAAAAACCTTAGCCAATACATTGTTCCTTAAGCAAAAATGACCTAAGTAGAACTACTTTCATAATCACTGACTATCACCTGAGCAGCAGTAAAATTAATAAATTTATTATCAAAAACCATAAAGATCATCCGAAATTCCTTTTTGAAGCTGAACGCTAATCTGACTTGCAATGATTTTGAAAAATCGCCTCATAAACTGCTAATCCTGATCGTCTGCTAAATATTTATGGCGATAAGCCGCATTGATTCGTGATTTTTATTGAGGAAAGAATATTATGAAATTGATTTAAGCTCTTTAGATTGCTTGATTCGTTGATGGCAAAAAAGACAATTTAGTAATGAAGCAATGAATGTGCAAAATTTCTCAATTTAGTAACATATTTTTAACGATCTCCCAAAAATCTTCAATTATACCTAGAAAGACCCAGCGGAAAGCAATGTTGAATGTAAGGAATTTTCTATTGTTTGCTTTCCTGCAAAACMTAGTAGAATCAAAAAGAGTTCTGGTTTCTTCGGATAAAATAATTTCTTTCTTCACATATTCTCATTCGATTTTTTGATCAATTTTTTTATTTCCCATATAGTATTTTTCGTGKGGCTGCTAATTRAAAAGTCAATTTTTTGCTAYTTCATCCCACACTACATTTTCTATTCAGATGAACAGTTTGTCAAAAAAAACATTACAAGCTGTAGATGAACATCTAAGCCGACAGAMAAAATKTGAAATAGACTTTGCACAGWAAAAAATGCAAACTTRGACACTAAATAAACTGACTGAGAAACACCAGAGAAGAATATGAAACAWGATTATGCGTACAAAAATKAAAGGCTAGCGCCAACATAAGACTGAAATAATATGGAAGTAAAGAAATTATTGAAAATTCTTAGACACAATATTGAAACGGAACGAAAGAGAAAAATATGCTCAAAAGCGAATTGTGGAAAGGGTCACTTAATAAAACTCATTAGAAACATAATAGGTTTGACCAAAGGTTCTTCTGGTCATAATRCAAACAGAAAATAATCGAAAATTTGAAACAATAGGATACAAAAATTTAATACTAAAGGAAGTAATTTATAGCGAAAAATGCATCAAGCACAAGATAAAGTTAAGACGTCCAGAAGCGCGATTATCGGCCCTTTTAGAAAAAAGTTAATTCGAACTTTTTGTAGCACTTTGACCTTTTTAATCCAAGGCGTGCTGCAAAATTTTCCTTCGTTTTTTGATTTGAAACTTTTCCCAGCAATAACCATTCATCTGGGCGATAAAAAATGGCACTGACTAACACTGGATCTGTCGGACAATTTATTATGAGCAATTTATTTCGTTGAAAAGCTTTGTTTTCCATGAAAAAAATTAAACGTGATTTTTGAGCCAAATCTTTAAAAGCAAAGGATGAATTGAAAAACTCAATAAAATTTCCAAAAACTTGAATTTCAGGAGTAGATTTTGAAAAACCAAATGAAAAACAAACCATTTTCATACAATTTTAGCTACAATTTATAAATACGATAAAAAATTAAACGTAATTTTTGCGCCAAATATTTAAAGCAAAAGATTGAATTAAAAAACTCAATAAATTTTCCTGAATAAACAAATAAAAAACCAACTATTTTCATACAATTTATAAATACGATAAAAAATTAAACGTGATTTTTGCGCCAAATATTTAAAGGAAAAGATTGAATTAAAAAAGGCAATAAAATTTCCTGGCGAAAAATTAAAATTTATTTTTCAATTTTTCAATCAAGAATAGCTACAATTTATAAATACCATAAAAAAAACGTGATTTTTGGGCCAAATTGTTGAAGGCAAAGAATGTATTGAAAAACTCAATAAAATTTCCTGGGGAAAAATGAAAATTGATTTTTCAATTTTTAACGGGTAGATTTTGGAAATTTAGGAGAGAAAAAGTTCAAATTTAATCCCATGTAAAGTGCGCGTGACAGCATTAATGCCTTAAGATGGCTTATTTTCGAAATTTCTTTAATAATTTGGGGAGATTTTGAATGTTTTTGACCTTCTAAGACCTGCTTAATTTATCCCGTTTATCAAAAATGGACTAAATTTCTGAAATTTTTACTCAAAATCGGTCGGAAATTCAGAAACACCTAGCAGCTCGCTTATTTGGCACATTAGGAGAAAAGTAAATAACAACTTTTTTATCCATTTTAAACATTTCTATATGATTCCATGCCGAGAATCTGTGCATCGGAAACCGCATTTTTGAGAGTTTTTTTAAAAACAGCTCACCTGAGAATTTGATAAAAAAATGGGATACTTAATCAAAATTTTTGCTGCACCCTTTTTAAGAAAAAACAATAAAAATATTATGGGTCAATGAATTTTCTGGCCCAAAATCAAGATATTTTTTCTGAAATAATTGAGCTAGGGGGGAGATAAAGACAACCTTTCAAAATCTCTCAGGGAATCTGTGGCTCCAAAAACGCCATATTCACCTCACACTCAAAAAACCTTCCTGTAGCCCACTTAAATACCTTCAGGGTGTTGTTGTTCGAAATTTCACAAAATGTGTATGTTCATAACTCGGCTAGAGTTATGAGCCGAAAAAAACCAGGCTGCAACGAAAGACTAATGTATGTATATATAATGTATTTAGAATTTTCGGACGCTAAAAAACAATTCATCGAATCAAAGGTGGTCCTTCCTTCATTGGTTTCGACTCAACCTGAACCAAATGAGTGAAAGTTTGGTCTTATACCTGTCTTAATTTATTTTCGCCTCTTTCGTCGCCTCTTTTGTCGCCTTTCCTTCTTAACCATTGGTGTCGTTAATTTAAAGCAACTTTAGTGACCTTTTTTGCTTATGGTAATGTTGCATGTTGCAATAAAACTACTGTGACAAGATTTTTGAAAACATTTGCAAATCAAAACAATCACTAAAACACTCTATTCAACAATGCCAGCAGGGCAAACAGTAACAAACAAGAGGAGGATCTAGACATTGCCACTCCTGCTGCAGCATCTTCTGCGTCCAAATAAGTCACGATGTCTTCCTTCAGAAGCTGGGCCCAAGTTATGGCGTTTGCGCTGGAATTCAGAGCAGTTTCAACAGATGTTTGATGACTTAGCGTTAATCCAGTAATGTTAGACAAGGCGGACAGCTAAAAGGAAATAAATACTCAGTAAGCTTTTCGCAGGTTTTCCCCGGCAAACTTTGCCTACCTTAGCCAGTTGTTCTTCGTCGTATATGTAGTTCGAAATGCCGGAAATTAGGGAGCCCACATTGCTGTATCTGTGTGAGGAAGGAAAAAGTCCATGACTGATAATGCATGGAAATGGAAAAGTTTGCAAAACTTACGTGTCTTTGAGTGCTGCATAGTTTTCTTCAATATACTCCAAAGATGCGAGCGTTCCAGTTTTGCCACTGCTGTAAACGTACGACCACACTGAGGTGAAATCCTGCACTCTTATTCCTGAAGTGGAGTTGATCGTTTGGCCCAGATACCTGCAAATGATCTACTCTATCAACTTGCTCTAGGCAGCGCTGCATCAGCGTCTACCATTTCAACACTGTGGTGTTTTCCGCACAACCCAGCCCACTGTAGATGGTCATAATTTCCGAGCTCAGCTTAGTCTGGGTGTATTGCTGCCACAAGAAGTCGAAGTCGCCCTGGACGTCGTCGCTGTGCCTCAAAGCGTTGCAGTAGACCACAGTCCTCAAGTTCTTGGGCACGCTAATCAACACCTCCGATAATTAGCAAAGTTTCTTAACGAGCTCAAGCAGGTTCCTCATACCTCACTCCATTTTGCCGGTAGTTGGCAAACAGTCGCTTAGCAGAGCTGATGCAATCCGCATCTCCATACCGGCAAACTCTGGCCAAGATCAAGATTTGCTTCATCGTGTAGACCTGGTTGGAGCTATCAAGAGTGTCGAACGGCACTGTGCTGTAGACCTTTTGCATCAGCTTCAACATCCAGGCGGTGAATTTCTGGCCTTCCTCGCTATCGTATCTACACAACCACTATCCTCCATCCTCGCAGCAGCTCCCTGAAGCTCCACTTACCCGATTCGCTGTAGAAGATGGTTGTTTCCGATAATCGCAGCATACCACGGGTAGTAGTCGACTTCATTTTCCAAGTATTTGAGAACGAGCATCGCATCAGTGTAGTTCCAAGTTCCGTAGCCTCCATTCCGGCCCGCTCTAGCATAGTTGTAGGCGTCGCTGACTATTTGCGCCCTATTTAGCACATCAATTACCAAATGGTTGCTGCTCAGTTGCGCTAATATTGCCGACCATAGACTGCTGTCATAGTTCACTCGATAGAAGCCTTTAAACACAGCAAATCGACTTTAAAGGTTTTGCTGCAGTTCAGATAGCTGCCTAACCCGATTGTCTGTTGTTGAGGATGATCCAGGAACTGTCCTCCAGGACGTTTGATAGGGTGAGAGTCTCACCTGGCACTAGCCAAGCCTTAACTGTTGTGTTGGAGAACTTGGTTACATCACTGGATACGGTGTAGGTGATCGGAACGTAGTACTCAGTGGTGTCGTTTCCGCTCAAGAGGAATCGTTCCTAGATCGATGGTTTATAGCGCTGCGGGTTTTGTTGATAATGGGACTTTTAATACCTGGCTTAAAATGATGTCGTTTCCCCTTTTGGTCGCTGTAACAACAGGATGTCCACTCAGTTCCACCCAGTTTTCTAGCACCGTGCTGAGCCCAGTATTGTTGGGGAGTGCTACGGAAGGCACGAATTTGGCCAATGAGGTCCATAAATCATCTGGTACTGTTCCTGTTAGCTGACTGAAACAGACACCGTTGTATTGATTATACAAGACTGGAGCCTGAATGTCGCTCCATTAATTGGACTTGAAGCAGATGAAGACAAAGTTTCCGGGTTTTTGTACGATTTTGTCACTTTCTCGATATCCAAATGTAATGTTCCGTAAGGTGGGGTTACTTTGCAACTATGGCACAACCGTCTTCAACCATGAGGCTGTTTATCGTTTTTTTCGCTGCTAAATATCAATTTTTTCTAAATTTGCGATATTTTTGGGGATCGCTGTGAGGCACTTCCATTGCGCAAGGGTTATTTACGTATGGAATTTCTTGAAATTTGGAAATAATATGATCAGTTATTTTTTCTAAAAGGCTGGATAGTAAGTTTCGTTTTAAATTGATTTTTTAAAAAACGGTTTAATTATTTATATGTTAAACAATTTTCTTGGGTTTCAGTCATTCATTTCGATGTCACAATTCATTCATTTTAAAATACCTTTCGGTGTTTTAAATTTTGGACACCTGAAGATTCTTGCATCTGGTTAGGAAGGTCTTTCGGTTTTTCTCCTTTGCCAGTTTTGCCTTCAGTTTTTTATACCGAATCTTCAGGTGGCATTCTTCTATGTGATTCATAATGCTATATTCCTAAGCATTTCTATTTAACATGTAAGTTTTCCTGTCTGTATTTCCAATTTTAATATAAAACTGTTTTCCTGGGTAGTTTATTTCGATATCACAATTTATTCATTTCCTTGAAACCCGTTTCGGTTTTTTTCCTCCCTCCTCAAGAAATGCTTGGAAATACAACGTTATGGATCAGATGAAGAAATGCAACCTGAAGCAACCATCTAAAAAACTGAGGAAAAACTGGCAAAGGAGAAAAACCGAATTAACTTTCTAACCAGATGCAAGAATCTTACCCTGGCGCCAAAACTTATGCAGACAAACTGAAGATTTTTATGTCCAAAAGGGCATATCTAACAACATGCCTTGAAATTAAAAAAAAAAACAAGGTGAGACTAGGAATTCAAAGAATTATTCTGATGAAACTTTATTTCGGATTAATTTGGTTTAGCGGACAATTCTTCATGAAAACCCGCTTTATGACAGGGATTTCTCGATAACCATGCAAGACTCTCTTGTGCCCATATCCCAACTCGATTCAGAAGAAATCAGTTAAAGTCCTCAGTAATTTTCAATTCATTTGCTCTTGTGGGGGACTTGTGATTAATTCCGAAACTTGAAAAAGTTTTCCATTATTTCCCTTACTGGGTCATGACATCTTCTTGTGGACATGTCTTCATAACCACGCAAGATCCGGCTCTGCTTATATATTAAGTCGAACCACAAAGTACAATTTAAAATATGGACTAATTTTGGATTTATTTGGGCACGTGGGAGACTTTTAATTAATTCCGGAACCTTGGGAAGTTTTCGCTAATTTACTCATGCACGTCTGGCACAATAATTGAGAAAAATATGCAGAAATTTCTAGGTAATCAAACAAAATGCTTCTATGCCAATATTCTAAGTCAAGCAAGAACGTGTCATATAAAGTGCGGAAAAACTTGTGATGACATACTTATCATATCTTGATGACCGGGCATCGCCACTCTCAAAAGTCAATAAATCATCCTCAAATCACAAACAATTTGTCTCGATTTCTCGAGTTTTCCGCTTCTACAACCACTTACTTTTCAGTTAGATAATCTCTGATGCCATAAATGAAGTTATCTGAACCCATAATATTCGTTTCGATCATCCGGTAAATGCTGGCCCCCTTGTTGTAGCTGATGGTGCTAAACTTGCCGGAAACCTTAAAGATCGCCGGATGATTTATCACCAAATGCTTTCTTTAGATGCGCCAGCCACTTACCTGTGAAGCAGTAGTAGCTGTTGAGGTAAGAGCTTGAGCGCCAGTTGTAGAGTCTGCTAAGAGAGCGGTATGAACCTGCTCCACAATAAAATGCTTCTCCAGCTCCCAGTCGAGAAGCTGTTGAGTCTAACAGGCACCAAGCATGCTTCATTCAGAAACACTTTTATTTTGGGTTTCGATTGCTTACCACTGCACTGGCGAAGTATTGGTAAAACCGTGCGAAGCCTTCGTTTAAGAAGGTGTAGTCCCACCATTTGCAGGTGACCAAGTTTCCGAACCACATGTGAGTGAATTCGTGCGCGATCACCAAGGCGATGCTCTTCTTGTAGACGTTTGAGGTATGTTCTTCACTGAACAGTAAGCCAGTTTCCCTGTAGGTGACCAGACCCCAATTCTCCATTGCTCCGGCTGAGAAGTCTGGAATAGCCACTTGGTCCATTTTTGGCATGTAGTTAGCTGGAAGAAAATAGTTGTATCAACTTTAAGCTACCACACAAATCCACCTATCAGTTGCAAGCGTTCATACCATATCGAATTCCGGTCATGCTCTCCAAAGTTCGGAGCAGTGGCGTGCCAACTTCAACCGCCCACGCCCGGTCCTTCTTTTCTTCATCTCTGGAACAGACCCGGTGATCCACGCCATTCTCGATGGTATCCCCAGTTGTGCAGGTGAATTTCGATATGATAAAGGCGATCAGGTAGGTTGACATGGTTGTGGTGTCTTTGTATACGGACTTTGTATGCGATCTAAACACATAATTATATGGAAGATATACCCTTTTTTTGCATACCTTCTACATACGAGTTAAATGCATCATTCGACACGCTCTCAGTGTTACTAAGAGCGTTATATTCAGATGGATACGTTAAATTGATGGCAAAAACGGCTTTATACTGCGGTTCATCGAAGCAGGGGAATGCATGTCTTGCGGAAGTTGGCTGAAATTGGGTGGTCAGTAAGTAGGCAGTTGCGTTATTTTCATCCAGGTAAGTGCTGGTGTAGAAACCTCGCATTGCTGATGTTTCGAAGGCTGCAGTGTATCTGAAATTATTTGATTTTGGTCTTACGAGTTATTGTTTTGCCGCTTACAAAGGCACCAATTGCTTGTTTGCCCCAAATTCTTAATGTCGTTTTTGCTCTGATATACACAGTTTTTTAACTTTAAATAGTTAAAAGCAACATTTTGTTAGCTTGTCAAATTTCAGTTATTTCTTTTTAGCTGTGAAAACTATTTATATCAAGCGCGACAAACCCTAAGCTCATTATTTATTTCCATTTAGATGAAGCTCCTCCAGAACTAACTTTTGATCATTTGCCAATAAAATCTCAACATCAAAAAAAGCCAAATGCAGAATGTGGCAAAACTCCGACTAGTTATTTTTGAAAACCTTCATGATTCACTTTTTCTCATTTATCCTTTTCTTACAAAAAAAAATGCTAACTTTTCTAAAGTTGAAAGCGAAATGTTGATAGGGTTTGATAAACGTTTGTGTTTACCAGAACACGGTTAACAATATTTGGTTAGTTCTATTTCGATTTCCATTTCTTGTTGTTTCAAAAAGCCCAATTTTTAGAAACCGAAAAGGAAAATACTGACAAATACAGGCTTAACATAAAGATGTAAAAATATAATTGATGGTTTTCTTCTTTATATTCATAAATCTTGACGAGCAAGAACTTTTACACAAGCAAAAAATTTAAAATTGCTACAGAATTAACGCGGTAAGATTTTTATTATTTTCAGTTTTTTCTTCTAAGATATGTAATTTTTTTTGAAGACAATAGAACACATATTTAATATTCAAAAGCCAGAGATTCTGAGTCACTTCTAAACAGTAAAAACCAAAAAATTATGAGGTTTTGGCAATTATTAGTATTTTCTGGAAAATTTCTTAAATGTATCTAATTAATTGAAAGGACTATTTGGATAGTTTGTCGAAAATGAAGTTTTACACTTAAAAAAACTTAATTTTTTGGAAATGCAAAAAGTGGCAAAATTTTGATAATTTCTTATACATTTCTTTTTCGGCACAGCAAAATGCATTTGGCTTTAAATGTTGTCAAAGTTGTGCTGAGCCCTTCGGGCACGACACTGGTGGGAAAAAACCTAATAAGAAATCAGACAGTTTGGAAGGTTTTTGCATAAAATCAGTGTCGTGCCCGAAAGGCTCTGCATAACAAAAGTTTTGCCGTGCAAGTTTTTTTTGGAGTTGAAGTACTTTACCTCTCTAATTGTAAATAAAATTTCAATAAAATCTGTCTGCAAAAGATTGTGAGTTGCTTGTCAATTTTCATCAACACTGGAAAATGATTAAACATTCCTAATTGCTAGCAACATTTTGACTATGTGAACTAACTT